ATCGGATAACCTCAAACAAGGCAGTGGCAAAAAGGGTGACAGCAATAACCCTGACAGGAAGATTCAAAAAGGTCAAAAGTGCCGGGTTCCACCAGCAAAATCTACCATGCGACTTGGTCCTGCTAAGAACACGTTGAGGCTGCAATCATGTGTCAACGATGCGACGAGGAGAAATGACCTAGTCGTCACATCGGTTATCTATGCACCCAACGCCAAGCCAACGCTTGTGGAGAAGGAGTGTAGCCAAAAGTGGTCTCAGGCTTGCTTTCATTACAGTTCGGCTATCAAGGTAAATCCGCAATGGGCCACGCTGACCTGTCCACCTGAAGCTGCGACGACGATGTGGCGTCAAGGTGGCAACGCAGTGCCGGCCTTCAAGAACCAGCATGCTGGCGCCGGTTGGTTGGAACCAGCCAACTTAAATCCTCCCGAAAGATGCGACCGAGACGAATATCCACCTGCGTATCTCCTGGGTCTCCAGGACCCGGCTCGCCTGAATTCTGGGCAGAATATACAAGGGCAATTGATTCGCTATATACCCAGGGAAATGAATCGAGGAGCAGGAAGCATGTGGAAAGGAATGTGTATGGGGTCTGCAATCAAAGATATGTCAGATTCTGATTACAAGGCCAAGGTAGACGCGGATCGCAATAAGAAAATCAGCGTAGTGCGAGTTGGCCTGACGCGAACTGAGGCGGCTGTCACGGCCACGGTTCGGCCAGAACTGGCCATCAACAAATGGGGGCACGCCGCCAGTCCACCAGCGAACGATGGTCTGGATCTCAATACTTGCTGGCCGAAGGGCATTGCTGCGGGGGACCCGGGCTTTGCCCTATTAACATTTGATCCATACTACAACACTCACCCGCGACCATACAATTACAGTCTACCATATGTCAAAGGTTCGAATGGTTCCTGAAACCAGTTCAGACTGATAATCTCGACATGGAAGAGCATGGGCATTGAAAGAGGAATCATTTCCCAGCACGCACATCGTATGCACGCGAGTTGGCATATTCAGTGCCTAGTTTACCTTTTGATACGAAGAGTTGGTGACTTAGTTACTTAGTTGGCCTTGTTATGGAGCAGATTTGTTTTACCAAATAGTTGTTTTGCGATTTGGAGATTGTTTCGATGCCCGATCATCTGCATCTAGTAGTTTAGATATATTACTAAAATTATAGAAGCTCTAGGAGCTCAGTTACGTCGATTCAAGCAACTTTTGTAAGTGATGATAGGAATGCTGATCTATTGACTACTTACTTCAGGTGTTTTCTGCAGATCACCACGATGGATAATTAACCCATTGCAAATTGAAATGTTCATTACATGTGACAGAGTTGCGAGAGCCGGATCGAATTGGTCGACTCTCAGTCAGCCAGTCTTGAACCCCCACTGAGCAGGAAATTATCTTGAATTCATATCATCCCATGAAGACAACGTATGTACAGGCTCCTCTGATGGCTCAGCCAGGCGTGTACACCCGCGCAACTCTTGTCTGTCTTGAATCGTAATGTATCCCCCCCCTCTCTAAACGCCTTGTTCAATAGAGTTCCCAGGCTAGAAATTCCGACCATGGTTAGATCATGAAGTACCCGTTTATACCCGGATTCTCATGCGATATAAATGCAGTTTTATAAAAGCCCCCGCTTTAGATAAAGAAAAAAGACCAGAAATAAAACGAAAAGACCGAAAATTGGTGGGAGAGGGGAAAATGAAGAGTCTTTGGGTCGTCGAGACAGGCATGCTTTGCCCCTTTCGAGCTGTATGGTACAACGGATCCGAATCGCACCAACAGCATGATTAATTTACCCTTGCCCTGCATATCTGATTTCTAGTCCTCCCAAATACACAAAACCAAGAAGCTATCATATGCGATTAGAAAAGGCAACTAATATTCTCGCAAGATCAGGGAGATGAAAAGGTTTCGTACGAGAGTCAAGGCAGAATGGTTGATGGATCACAGGCAATTCTCCGGCATTGAAACTGGGTACTTATGCATGCGAAAGATGTTGAATTGCCCACGAGAAATTTCTGTCTACAAGACCGTGACCGATTTTTTTTTTTTTTTTTTTTTGAGAGATCTAGGCCCACTCCACCGTTGACGCCTTGACGGGTAGAATTGAACAGGTAGGTAGCTAGGTGCGATATCGATATTTTTGCGGATAGACACGATGCTTATAACGGGTGAACAGGTACTTCCTTATAATAGTACCCTACCTACGTACGGAGGACAGTATGCGCCATATTCATTTATGTACAAATCATTAGGCCCGTTGCAAAAATTACAGTTGTCCTCCAACGCTATGTGGATCAGCTGGGGAAATCTGTAGAGATCTGATGATTGAAACCTACTCCGTACTTAGGTTTCCTCCACCAACACCGGATCCGAGTTCATTGAGGCTGAAGAGGAGTGAGGACGATGACATAGTGTCGACTAGGCCTCGTCAGGGTAACCCGGCCGAGACAAGGAGGATGCGGGGTGACCAATCCGGTTCTTTACCGCGCTGGCACCGGCGAAGTAAGTGGGTCGGGCGGATCCGGCGGACCGCGCTCGAGACACGAATAGTGCGCCTTCACACGACCCCGGCAAATTTTCCTTATCTGGCCCACGCGGAGGCAATCCATTCGATATTCCAACTCCGTGTCAACTGTCCATGCAGAGATCAGTCTATCACATCTAACACACAAGCATTCGCTTCTTCTGCTGCCCGTTCCATTGGGATTGGTCTAGAACTTTGCCTCATTTGCTCTCCCCTTTTATCGGAGGACGGTTCAACTTTCGGGCTTTCTTGGCGCTTTGTCTTTCCCCTCTCTCTCTCTCCCTCACTCACTCACTCACTTCAACGGGCCCGGCCGGCTCTCTCAGCCATGTCAACGAAACCCCGCCGTACCCTTGCGGGGCCAATCTTCCGCGTCCGTACGGGGTGCCTGACGTGCCGCGGTCGCAAGAAGAAGTGCGACGAGACCAAGCCGCGGTGTCGCGGCTGTGAGCGGAACCGCCTAGAGTGCCGCTGGCCCCCAACGTCCTCATCCCAGGCCACCGCCGCTGCCTCTTCCTCTCAGGCTACCCAGAGCGGCGGCACCTCGCGCTCACCTCGGGAGGTAGGAAATTCGCCAGAGAGCACGCGGCAGGACGATGTTCAACCTACAGCTCCTTCACCATCAGGGTCCACGGTGGCATCCCAGAGTCCCCAGCATCTCCCAGATCGTTCAGTCAATTTCTCTTTCGCATCACATATCCAATCCTCGGAATCACCAAGTGCAGCCACAACGGACTCGAGTCCAAGCCCGGCAACTCAGATCGTCACGACGGACCAGAGTAGCGGAATCATCGTCCCTCCCCAGACGCCAGAAGAACACACAACGACTGCCATTGGATTTCAAGACCCTTCCGCCTTTTCGGTCTTTAACACGGAGGACCCGGACGATGGCGAGAGTACGGATCAGATGGTACACTCACCAGTTCAACCAATGTCGATATTCAGAGATCACCATGTGCCGAGGTCGATGAACTTGCTGGCTGGAAATCAGGATAGCAATTCGCTCGAGCTTCTCAGTCACTACCTCAGCGCGACATCGCTCAGTATGGCCAATGGATCCACGGCAGACAACCCTTTTACCGCACAATTGATTCCTTTAGCATTCAGCAGCGATCTCGTCTTACAACTACTCCTTACGCAGAGTGCCGTACACCGAGCAGCAAAGTCTCTAGTCCCGACAGATCATATCGCAACCAAATATTACAACCAGTCGCTACGGCTCTTTCAGCAAAACATCTCGACGTACATGGGTGGACAGCATGGCGAAGAAACGCTGATCCTGGGCATTGGTGCTCTGATTCTATGCTTGGTTGAGGTATGTTGTACAATCACGCTCGCAATTGAGTTCACTGTGATATTGATACCCCTTGTAGACTGCCAAAGGTGACGTGAATGGAACCATCTTCGACCATCTCATGGCAGCCCAGTCCTTGATCTTGCCCTTCTTATCTGCGAATAACACCTTTCTACACAAGACTTTGAAAGACTTCTTGACCGAATACTACATCTACACAGCGACTGTCAGCATGATATCCATAGACGCAAGACTTGGTGATCAACTGTTCCTCAGCAACGATCTCATCCTCCTCGCCACTGAGCTCGTGGCATCCTCTTACATCGGCAGTCTATGCGGATGCTGGCTTGATCTGATCCTGTTAGTGCCTTCGATCTTCGACCTGGGGCGTCGGATAATGAGTCACATGGACGAGCCTGATTGGCGCCCATCAGCCGATGACTTTATTCTGTTTTCGCAACTACAAAGCCAGATACTCAACTGGCAGCCAAACCCCATGGTGACTGAGAATGTTGCCTTGGCTGGATACATATACCAGAAAGCCTTGTTGCTCTATCTGCACACGGCATTACATACACTCTCTCGAGAGGAGCACGGACTCCAGGCAATGGCCATCCAAAACGCCCTCAGCGGAGCTCTCTCACATCTAGCACAGCTAGATCCCAGCGTCCGTATAAACACGAGTTTATGTTGGCCCATCACCATCATCGGTTCGTGCGTCACAGATAAGGGACAGCAAGAATTCCTGCATGAGAGGTTGGGCCATATGTTTGCCACCATTGGTCTGGGTAACATCCGACAAACTTCAGTCGTGCTGCAGCATCTGTGGGACCACAACGAGGTCATGCCGGCGGACATTGGAGCAGGTCCTTGGCAGGTTTGTCGGGTCATGAACGAGAATCAGATTTGGATTTCATTTGCGTAGATGGAGTGGGGACATGATCGATATGAATAGCGGCGGTGTTTACGGGGCTAGCGAGCGTGCGAGTGAACGAAAGATGACGGCGACTGACAGAACCAGAGCCTATTTTCTGACCAACATGTGTGTACATTTATGGACGGGTCTCACCAAGAGCGGGCGAATATGATACCATGAATCTTTTCTTTACACTCTGAAGGACGAAAGCTTCCACTATTTGACTGTATTATCAAACTAGGTACCATTACCACCCCTTCCAAGGAACCCAGGTATCTACTACAACATCATTCTCATCTACAACATAGTAAACATAAAAGGCCGCAGCAGTGATGCAAGCATGCTGGACATTGAGGAACACCTTGTCGCCAACGTTAAAATTCGCCTCCACATCTCTGCGCTCCGGCTCAGCAGTCTTTGAACCCAGTGCCTGAACTTCACCCAAGATACCGTGTTCCTGAGACATTCGAACAACAGCCCAGTCAGGCTTGCCGACAACCTTGCCGTAGCCTGGGTCCGGGCCAGCCTCCTTTGACAAGGCGATTGTCCCGGCGTTGATGAGAGCCTCGTTGCGCTCCGGGTACACGCTGCAGACTTCGGAGAGGACGCGGATGGCCTGATCCTCGGCTCCGATAACGCTGGTTGCGACCTGTTGGAGATCGTTTGTTGGGAAGTTTCCTAGGAAAGCCTTGTGTTAGTCGTGTCTCTTGTCTGCGGTTGAGGTTGGCGAGAAGTACATACCGGCGTGCAACTCCAATGTGACGTTCTCAGGAATCGCTGCCTTGAGAGTGCCGACAACATGAGCCGTCGGCGTAGCCCCCACAGATAGGGTGAGTTTTCTGTCACCAGTGACCAGCTTCGCCGCGCTCAGGACACTGTTGATCTCGACCGTAAGGAGATCCTCCACTTCTTGTGGTGTGCGGCACCCATAAGAGTGGCCTGCGTGACAGTAGAAACCCTTGAGAGTGACGGCTGATGAACCATTGACGCGTTGAATCAACTTTGTGAGACGATCGCTGCTCAGTGGAAGACCGGCGCGCTTGCTGCCCACATCGAGCTTGATGTAGATGTCCCAGGGTTTGATTGTACTTTCCGGATTCTTGGCGGCAAATGTCTCTACTATTGTGAGCTGCTTCTCATGGTCGATCATGAGCTGCACGTTGGTGGACTTTCGTAGGTCTTCCAGCAGAGGGATGGTGCTTGCTGGAGGAGGAAGCCCGTACAGCACCTAAAAGAAAATGCCTCAGTCCTGCGATTTTTTGTTGTTCTTTACTGGCGTATCACAACAAACCTCCTTGAGAATTCCCTCTTCTGCCAATGGCAATAGCCCACGGATTTCTGACAATGTTGATGCTACAACTCTCTTGTACTTGCCATTGCCCAGCATCAACCGCGTAACTTCGAGACTCTATGAGTCAGTTAGTCATGACTTCAAATGCTTCGGAATGGAAAATAAGTCAATTTCCTACCTTGAGGGTCTTAACATGAGGTCTCAGTGTGACTCCAGCCTTTTCGACATCCTGATGCAGCCTCTCAATATTTTTCTTGATGGTTGGCAAGCTGAGAACAAAAGAGGGCGTAGGCAGGTCAGTGACCTTGGAGCCAATGAAGGAGCGGTGGCTCTGTAACGAGTAGTCCATGGTGCCTGGCAACAGTATGGAAGTATGCGTGCTGCAACGGTATGCTTCTAGAAAGACTGCCGACGACTGAAGAGACAGCATGCTTTTCTCCAAACCTTGTCACTTTCCCGCGGACCAGTCGGAGTCGACTTGTTGACATGGGCAACACTCTCTAGGGAGGGCGGCCGAGAGGGGAGGAATGAGTCCGACCGAGATAGCCGAAAGCGGCGCTGGGCAACTGTGGGGCATCTCCCCGCTCCGGCGCCGGCAAGGATTCAGCGCGGAAAACATCTTTATTGGCAGAGTTGCCCGTTTCCCCGTCATCGCTTATCGTCGGTTGCTCGATGCCGGAGAGATTGGCTGGCATTGCATCGGCACATGGACTTAGTTAGTTGATGACTTTTTCAAGTCACAACTTGTAACACGGTGTTAGAGATCATCTCCATCGTCATCGTAAGGGATCTTGTGGAGCGTCCTCATCAGACAAGGTTGCCACACTACTGAGATCCCTTTCAAAAGTGAATTTTCGGCACCACGTCCAAATTGCGCCGAGAACTAACATACTAACTTGGCCTCTAACTTGGCCGTGACAACTAAGTTTCTCAAAGAGATGGAGCAATTTGAAGGAACGACAACTTTCAACGAAGACTACTACTTTTGCGGCTTCAGTTGAACAACAAACCGTTCGTTGTACGCGATACCTCCGACTACCACAAACTCGCCCTTCTCCGTCATCTCAAAGTCGAACTGCCGAAAAACCTCTGGGAGCAACTTATACAGCTCCATGATGGCAAGATCCTTGCCTAGGCAGACTCTAGGCCCAACGCCAAACACAAAAGCAGAAGCATCCATCTCGATAATATGCTCCTTGGAATTCCCCTCGTCCTCAAGCCACCGCTCTGGTCGATATACTTCAGGGTCCGGGGCATACAAGTGAGGGTCCCGTTGGACGACGTACGCATTGCTCGTGATCTCTGCGCCAGCCGGTACCCAGGTACCGTCCACGACCTTACCATCCGGGTACGGCGCCACTCTGCCAAACAAGTTCGTCGCGGGCGGGTGAAGTCTCAGAGACTCCTTGATACAAGCCACGAAATAGGGCAAGTGTGCCCTTGTCTCTTCGAATTGGATGGGTGTGCTGAGAAGTTTGGCGTCGGATGCAGCTGCCAGTTCGGCTCGTACACGTGCGAACACGGATGGATGGGTCAGAACGAATCGGATGGTGCTGCCGAGCGCCGTTCCAGTTGTGTCTGCGCCGGCTTGGATGAGCAGCGTTACGTGCGCGCGCTTCTGCATCGCCGTCAATGGCTTGCCGTCCATCCGTGCTTCGAGGCACCTGTAGACAAGTCAATATTGCGCATTGAGGACATACAGGGGTTTGGCGTGACGAACAGTTGCAAAAAGTCTGGTCTTCCCTGGGAAAAGTCCTCTTGCGACATGCGCTGCTCCCGACCAGAGACCTCCCTGTCTGCTTGCCTCATCAAGTATCCCATGCCGTTGTCATCGCTTGTCTCTGGTAGAAAGTATTTACCCAGCGAGCCCTTCAGAATCACATCCCGAAAGAAGCGGAAACGGCCTGCAAATCCGAAGAAGACCAATCCCTCTCGCCAACTTTTGAGCATGTTGCGCTCGTCACGGCTGTTGTCGACGAAACCCCAAGGGCTTGTGAAACAGACTAGCGTCATAATATCGGCCGCAAACTCTCTGGGATGAAGTCAGCCTTGTCACAAGGTTTCTTGGATCTTTGCTAAAAGCATAGTCACTACTTACGCTACTTTGTCGGATAGAATGACTGCCTGGCTTTTCTCAGCAAATTCTGTCATTCTTTTTACGAATAGCTGGATGTGTTTGTCGATTCGTGGTTCCCAGTTGTTCTTCAATCCACCTATGGACCACTGGGCATTTCCGTATTAATGAAAGGAGCGCCGAAGATGCATGAGCTGTAGTAGAGACATACCGACGGACCACCGAGAGCTTTTCTCAAAGACTTATGCACACTCCCATCAATGGTCGAGAAAAGGTGTGGTGGGCCAAGTGCGCCGGAACTGTAGAGGGCAGCTTTGTTATTGCATTTTGGATCCCAGTAGATATCCTTGACAGCCTTGGACTGAGGAAATAGCAGAAGCGATGGTGCTATGCGGATAGGCTCCTCAACTTCGCCGAGTGGTTAGTACTAACCTTACCAGTTTTTAAAAGAATGGGACACTAGCTAGTGAAGCTTGTGGTAGTTTCAGATAGAAGAACAATACGGACAACAACTCACATCCGTATTGCTTGGCTAAATACAGCATCCAATGTGGCTCGAGCCCAACGACGGATATGACAGCTGAGCATAGTGAGAATGAAGCGGCATACCATGGACCATGATATTTGGACAAGGGATGTAAGTACAAGTTATAGAAGATTCGTAAAACTAGTGTCGAAATTGTCGCGATAGACAAAAAAGCCCCAGTCGAGGCTAGCGAAAGCCCTGGCACATCAAGTAGCACCATAGTCACGGGGAGTCTTTGGAGAAGGTTCAGTGAGATATTATGCATGCCTGTTACCAAAGACTCAACTTTCAGGGATATATATACTAATAGTCCATAACAGCCAGATTTGCAGATCTCTTCCATTTTCTTCCGCTTCATTCTCGAGCTGTCTTAAAGAAAGGTCACATGCTTTCATATCATGGCCACCTCATTCGTCTCAACCATCTGACCTATTATGCAGCAAGTGCCCAGTCCTACTCTGACTGCTGTCTTATACTCATCGTACAATATGCCCCTCATCAACGGCCTATCGGCAACGCGCGATCAGCCCTTAGATGCTGCTTTGAGTACGACGGACAAGTGTAGTGCTGATTATGAACAGTGCTGCATAGATGATGCAACCCTGCAGCGGTTGTTGACTGGAGCAGACCTCTATTGAACCTGCAGACGTGCCGAGCCGGGCAAAAGACCCATCGTTCAAACACAATTTGCCGGGTCCCGTATCTAGGCGCCAAAAACTCTAAGGCGCATGTGCGTTGGCAGTCCGAATTATGGTGTGTTCATGTGCGCTGTGAGACATACATGTTGACCGAGATGCAGAGCCATGCCATGTCTGATATTTCTACTTCCTTTCATTTTCATACTTGAGTGTATTTCAGCAAGGAAATGAACATGTCGATCAAATCATGCTGAAGGTATTCCGCGGACAACAGGACACAGACTGATTAGTCACGCCGTTTCCGACGCCGGAGATCCACCCCGAATCGTCTTATCTCGCTCTGGGGTTGCCGACCCCGCAGCCGATCTCATGCGGGACCTTGGAATTCCGTGTTCACTTCATTTTTGACATCGAGGACCTGTTCATATCATGTAACTTCATCTCAACAACCCAAACTTATCGCCAAAATGTACGCCGTCAATGTGGGGGACGGGCTAGACAGCCTAGACACACCTTCCATGATCGTGGATCTCGACCTCATGGAAGCAAACATCAAGAAGCTTTTCGATAGCCTGCTTCCCACCGGAGTCAACATTCGACCTCACCTAAAGACAACAAAGAGTGCAGTTCTTGCCGGCAAGCTTGCTGCCGCCGGTGCCAAAGGCTGCTGTGTGGCCAAAGTGTCGGAAGCAGAAGCCATCACGGCGGCGGGCTTTGATGACATCCTCATTACCTGTGAAGTTATCGGCAAACCGAAAGTGAAGCGTCTTGTTGAACTCTTCAAGAAGAACAAGAAGATTAGAATCGTCATCGATAGCGAATTTGGCGCAACAGCAATCGACGACGCGTTGGAGGAGGCCGGTGTCGAGGAGCCTATTCTTACGCTGATCGACTTGGATGTTGGACTGCATCGGACTGGCGTGGCTGCAGGCGAACCCGCCTTGGCTCTAGCGAGACACATTGGAAATCTCAAGCATCTCAACCTGATTGGTGTGCAGGGATATGAGGGACACTTGCAGCACCTCCACGACCGGGAGGACCGAAAGAGGCAGTGCCTTGAGTCCATGAAGACGCTCACCGAGACGGCAGAAGCGCTTCGGAAAGCAGGTTTCGGCATCGAGGTTGTCACGACCGGCGGCACAGGCACTGCTGAATTCTGCGTTACAGTTTCAGGAGTCACAGAGTTGCAGCCAGGATCCTTCATATTCATGGATACGGACTACCGCAACGCCGTCGGCTCGTTCTACTCCAACAGCTTAACGCTGTTGGCGACCGTCGTCAGCAAGCAGGGCGAGCGACAAGTGACCATTGATACAGGGCTGAAGTCATTGACGACGGATAGCGGACTTGCTGAATGCAAAGACCGGCGTTATGCCCACGCCAACCTGGGAGACGAGCATGGTTCGCTTAGCTGGGAGGAGGGAACTCCCGCCTTGGCGGTGGGAGATCGGGTTGAGATGGTTCCTAGTCACATTGATCCGACGATCAATCTGCATGACTGGTATTACGCCCATCGTAATGGTGTTATCGAAGAAATCTGGTCGGTCGACTCTAGAGGAAAGGTGCAATAGTTTGCGTACCGCCTTGAACCAGACAAATCTACCTATAAGCGATGCCAAAAAGTAATGGGTTTGGGACATCATGGACATGTGCATAAGTTATGAGATATGATTCGTAGTGTTCCAAAGGATTGAAGTGAGCTATATCAGGTCGATGTACGTCTAGGATTTGCATCTAAATCTTTGCTTTTGAGTGGCTCCTTTCTTTCAAGTTTCTCTCAGCGGGCAAAACCATGTTCACATGTGTACTCAAAGCGACAACATCTCCACCCTGGTCTAGAACAATAACCTCGAGATCTAGTCTGCCATTCCGGATAACCTTTGCCATTGTCCGAAGGAAGAGCCACTCCGCTCCATCCTCTGGCAAAGCCTTCTTCACGTCCAAGTTCAGAGCGAGGGTAGGGTACCAAAACATCTCGTTCGACCGGAAAGGTGTCTGTTCCTCATCGCGCTTCGGCCTCCATGCCTCTATTACTGTTGGATATGCGTCCACGACGTAGCCTAGCGATGCATTCGTGAACCTCTGGCCGTCTTTCAAGCGCAACCAGAGATCTACGATTCCACGACGTGGGTCCTCGCGCGGAACGTAATACTCGAGATTATTATGAGCGCGGGCGTAGGACGTCGCGCGAGCGTTCAACTTTAGCTTCCGCACCCAGTGGGGGTCCTTGTCCTGGCCGAGAAGGCAGAAGTCGGCGGTCTTGGCTGGCGGAGTCATTGCCCAGCCACTCTCCAGCGTTAGGCCCTTTTCGACAGTCAAGCGCGTATTGATCAAGTAGGCGACGACCTCTTTTCTTGAAGATGGCGTAAACCAGGGAGCTGATGATTGGAGATCATGTTGATAGAGGGAGACGTGTAACGTTGAAAGATTGCGGCCGAGTTTGACTTCGTCGACGATGAGAATTGCAGGACCAATTTCCGTGCGGTTGACGTATTCGAAATGCGCAGAGATCGAGTCCGGTTGTCCGCGGGCTGTTAGATGTTGCGATGCCGCACGGAGGATCACTGATGCGACATAGCCGCCATTCGGAACTGCGCGCTGTCAATGATGAGTTCAATGGGCGTAGGGGACAAGAAATCGACCTGAGCCTGTGCACCAGCTGGGAACCAAGTTGGCTCCGTACACGTTGGGACCGAGTTTTGTTATTGTCGTCGCACTTGAAAACGTCACAAGCTCCTCAGACGTCATGATATCTATAAGGTCGAGCTGATTTGAAGGATCAAAGTCTCGTCCTCTTTGCCAAGAGGCTCAATTGCAGGGGTGTTGATTAGCCTTCGCAACAGCACTAGCAGGTAAGTTGATAAGGCCGTTCAATAGATTCAAGAGATATCTGAGTTTAGGATCAGTAATACACGAAAAGAAAGTGGATGAAGCTGAACTATCGTCGCGTCACTGGAATCCGGGGAAGCTCCAGGGTATCGGTGATGTGGGCCCGATGCTCGAACGCTTGTTGGCTCTCACTTTGTCCATCTCCAACGTGAGAGGGCGGGCGGAGTTCATACCAATTCCCGTTCCTCAGTGAGCCTCGGCTTTGCACATGTCACCTGACTCAAGGCCGCCCATTCTAGTCAACACTCAGGGAGCTTGGGCGTCTGGCCACTTCTGAACGGCAATTCTTTTGCCTCGGTAAGTGGACCTGAGGGAGCCGTCAGCGCACGCCGCCAAGCTCACTTTTGAGAACCTAGCGTGAGTGAGATGAGTCTCACTCTCACTCTCAGTGGCTCATACTCATCACTGAAAGCCCCTTAAAAAGCCCACAAAGGGCGGCACCACGAGTCCACGACTGGTGTGAGATTTGAGGCGCCACACAACACGCAATGCGATCCTCCCAGGCACACCAGATTAGAGTGACGGATCCTCCGTGGACTATGCCCAACGTCGGCCGTCGTACGGTATTCAGGTCACTGCTCCGATGCGAGTCCCAACAGTTAGGTTCCTGGGTCCACGGCGCGTCCCAACAACGGCGTGGCCGCGGGACGCCTACCGAGTCTCCGGGCCTTTGATAAGATTTTATCGCCGAGATGAGATCAGTCATCAGAAAATGGATCTGACGTTCAAAATATGAAGGCTGACGCTCCCTCCTCGCAAATATACTGCTGATGCCCAAATCTTTTGCTCAAATTTTGTCACCAAAGCTTACATCTGCTTGTTTATTATCTCACTCTTAGTATTATCTCATTGCCAGTGGTGCACGCCCCAAGAAGCCCTCAAAATGGCACCGAAATCAGACCCGTTCCCAGGCTTCACGGCCATCACCGATCAGATTTTCTTTCGGGAGGGTGAACCAGTAACAGAGGGCACGCACCCACCAGCAGATCACCCAAGGGTCGTTATCATTTACAGCTGGGGCGACGCCATACCGAAACACGTCTCCAAATATGCCGATGGATTCCGCGCACTCTTTCCGCACGCAAAACAGATCGCCGTGCTCTCGCCCATCGTTAAAGCCATGAGAGAGGACCTCCAGACCCGCTCCAACAACATGAAGCCCATCATCGAAGCCGCCTATCCCTCAGCAACGTCCGGAACACCAGACCCCAATGAAGATGCGGTCCTCATGCACGTCATGTCCAACACGGGCGGCATCAACTACGCCGGAACTTTGCACGCCTACCAAGAGAGATTCGGTCGCCCGATGCCGCATCGCCTGTCTAGCTATGACTCGACGCCCGGCAGCGTGATCATGACGTGGAACAACCTCAAGCGCTGGTCTCTGGCCATGACTCTCGGAACCGCCGGCTGGTTTCCCTGGCCGTTTGTCGTGACACAGTGCATCATGGGCGTCTTCCTTCTTCTGAACCACAGCTTCGAGCACCTCACCGGTCGCGAAAGCGCGCCTGTCTTCAGCGTCGCGGCCATCGGCGACACGAAATACGTTTCCAAGGGGTCACGCAAGCTGTATCTGTACAGCAAGGAGGATCCGCTCATTGGCTGGGAGGATATCGAGGAGAACATGGCCGAGTCGAAGGGCAAGGGCTATGCTTATGATGCGGTGCGTTTCGAGGGTAGTGGCCATGTCGGGCATATGAGGATGCATACTGATCAGTACTGGAACGCTATTGCATCGGCTTGGAAAGAAACGTGAGGCTCCTGAAGGATTTGATTTGAAGGATTAGTGGCTGCCACATGGTGTTTGGGTGTGTTGTTCCTTCACGTCATGTTGTCGAACTCACGATGATCTGGACCAGGATGAGAGGATATTTCGTCGTGTGCTAAAAGACTCTGCCCAGGCGCAGAAAGAATAGACTTATGATAATAATGACAATAGATTCAGCAATGATGAGCGGCTGCACCAGGTATGACGTCAGTGTTTCCTCACGCCATTCTCAACTTGTTTACAAGTGTCGACTCTCAAATCCTTTTACTCTGATACCCAAGACAGATCTGTGACTGAGCATCACAGCTTACCCTACAGAAATTCACCAACAAACCAATCCTGAGGAGCAATCTACGTTGAAACACATGACCATGGGCTCCAAAGCCAGCCTGGCGCCCTTGGCAACACTGCGCGTCTCCAAACACTTCATCCCAGCACATGGGCAATTCCCGAACACAAGCATCCAAAACAAACCCCTCTTGATCTATCACTCCGCCTTCTCATCAACGAGTGCATCAGCTATAGAATCCCGCCTTACCTCCCTTGGTGTCGTCGAGCCACAGTGGCGATATACCATGTACAGCACGAGTCACTTTCACAGCACGACACACGAAGTCCTGAGCATTAGTACGGGGCGCGCCAAGCTTTGTTTTGGGGGCGAAGACAACGAGGGCCGAATCGAGCCTCTAGTTGAAAAGGGCGATGTGATCATCGTACCGGCCGGTGTTTCTCACCGCTTGCTGGATGATTTCGGAAGTGGGTTTGAGATGGTTGGGAGTTATCCGAAAGGTTACCACTGGGATATGTGTTACGGCAAAAAGGGTGAAGAACAGAAGGTTGATGTCATTGCTAAGGTACCGTGGTTTAGCAAAGACCCGATATATGGAGATCATGGGCCGGCAGTAGAGGTTTGATATCTTGTGGCAAAGCAGCAGCTGCCGGCTCGCGAACATTAACAGTTTGGTTCACACATAAATGATTCAGCAAGTTTCAGTTCACGACGCGTAACGCAAGATGTTGGTGCTAAACTTGCTACCGACAACAGACTCCAAAGTATAACAGGTATCAGAAGAGAATGCATTTCAAACACAGAGAAGCCCCGTGCCCGAACTCCGCTCAGTATGCAGGATGCAGAAAGATTTGACGCCAAAAGAACTGCAGATTATCCGCGACAACATAGAAATTCCGCACTGTCATGGCAACATGCTCTCGTAACGCATTAAAAGCATCCCAGGAACGACACCGAACAATGATCATGGCCCATAGACATCAAACCGCCATTCCCTGATCGGCCGTATAAAGCGCTCTGCTCTCACTTCCGTATTGCAGACCAAACACCGACGAGGCCAGCGACCGGCCACGTGATCGCTAGCCTATCTTTCAATGACTTTCTCCTCCGTTCCTTACTCACATCAACCGTAATCTTGTCATAAACCGTCGGTAGACTCGTCGCGCTGTACCGATCTCGCAGTTTTGTGTACCAATCCTTGTCGTACAAGTCCCAGAATTGCGACTCGGTATAGTACGCGTGAGAGTACAACACCTTGCGCCCGCCTAGCTCCATGACCTTCGTCTCGAGATCTCGGTTCTGACGGACGAACCTGTCAATCTTCTTCGACGATGCTCCCCACACACCCACATTGAGCATTGGTTGCGGCGTCTCTCCTCCAGGCTCCATCGTGTAGGGGTGAAAGCCGACGGTCTCGGTGGCACGGAGGGGACACAGCCAGAGGGGCCATATTTCGAGGTTGTCTGCCACGTAATCGATGAACTCTTGGACTGTGGTGTATGGCAGCGAGAGGTCGTGAACCGTATATTTGAATGTCATTCGGCTGTTGCCGCTCAGGCCGGCTTTGTATAGCGTCCTCGTGTCCATAAGTCGATTGAGAGCCCGGCGAGTGAGTCGATTAAATGGGACAAAGCCGAAATATTTGAAGGCCAACTCGCCCATCCAGAATGCACCCCGGTCGTACCGGAATAAGTAATCCTGCAACGGCACATAATCTGGCGTCGGCGTGCCATTTGCGATCCGCTTCCTTGCGTGCAGATAGAACCAAGGATCCTTGGATCTGCTGAATGTCTGTGGCTGGCATTTGTCGGGCAGATCATCCGTCATATGACCTGTAACAACAGCGGCGCTCGTCCTCGAGAAGACTAGTCCTTCGACGTAGTCATTGTGCGCCAGATCCGTCTCCCGCTGTATCGCGGCGACGGTTTCCGGAATTGTCGAGTACGAGTGATAGCTGAGCTTGACAAATTGCTTGGCCTTCAGCAACCGCAGCTCCAGTTTTGTGACGATACCAAGGGTCCCTAGGGCCCCTGCCGCACCCTTGAAGAGATCTGGATTCTCGGTCTGGGAGGCACTGACAACCTCCCCACTCGCGAGAATCATTTCTACAGACTGCACTGTCTGGTCGAAATACCCGTAGCGGAAGGAGCTGCTCTCTCCGGCCGACCCGGCGAAGCCGCCGCCGACCGTGATCCCCGGGAACTCCATCACGACGGGCGGGACAAATCCGCACCGGTAGGTGGCCGCAACAAGCTGATCCATGGGGACATTGGGCTCGACTACGGCGACGGCGGCCGCGGTGTCGATGTGTAAAACATGGTGCAGCTCGCTGATGTCGACGACGCGCTGGTGGTGGGCGGGCCGGGTGCTGCTTGTGGAACCGTGGAAGATGCGGAAAGGTTCCCGGCGCGAGTGGAAGTCCTTTACGACCTCAGCGATGCGCTTGACCGCTGCGTTATGGTCTTCCATTGGGTTTATGGCCCGGAGCTGACAGCTAGAAAAGCTGCAGGACGGAAACTCTGCTGAAGACAAACCTCGAAGCTGCGATCCGACGACAGCTTGGAGATCTGGGGTTCCGGAGAACGGAAAGTCAATTGTCAAGATGTCATTGAGAACGGACGGATGCAACGCTGTGTGGCTAAGGCAAGTTGTAACGGGGATTGTCAGAAGTTGGCTTGACCCACTCCGGACAGCTGGATACGCCGTCATTGGGCCTTTACCACGATGCATTGACGATGACTAAGACAGGGATTTCTCTACTATGAGCGCTGGGATCCATGACTGACAGACAATCTTAACCCTGCATGATGTTGTAGATTGAACTTAGATCACCGCCTCCTTTTGCGGGTTATTTCTGATATCTGTCGTCATTGAAGCCATTCTGTAGTTTACAAATTTCGTGTCTACGGAAAATCTCTTTGATTCTTCCAATGAATAAATCACTTGCCCTCGGTATCTTTCTTTTCGTCACCCTCACCAGGAATCTTCTTAAGTCCGACGCCAGCAACGCCAATGACACTCGCGGCGGCCATGGCAGCAGCAACTATGAATATTCTTGTGATGGCATGATTATATACCTGCAGCAGTGTACCATACTGGTTCGGAGATACCAAGTCTCTAAGTTGGGTTGCACCTGAGTTTCTAATTGCTTGGGGATCGACGTCTGGAAGATTAGAGGTTATTCCCGATGTTAACGTGCTTGCGAACACGGCCTGGGCAACCGTGATGGCAGTAGTAGGACCGAAACATTGGAAGAATAGTACGACAGCGACTCCTATCGCAACGTCGGCCTCTTCCAAACTGCTCTGAACAGCGACCGCTGCTTGCTGTGTCGAAGCGCCAATGCCAAGCCCGGCGATGACTTGAAAGGGGATCCAGAGGTTCGCGCCTGAAGATACCTTGAGAGTCGAAAGAAGACCGGAACCAACGGAGACGAGAACAGTCCCGGCGAGCATGAAAGGCTGGTAGTAACCTGTTTTTGTGACACCCCAGCCGCTGAGGAAAATGGTGAGGATGAAGGCCAGACAAAGGGCCAGGTATCGAACACCAGACTCCTCGGGCGTAGCACCCTGGATAGCTTGGAACCAAAGAGGCACCTATGAGAGAGGTTAGCTGGTTTTCTTTGCTGAACAATATCGTAAAAAAAAAAAAAAAAACCCTCGGGAATCATACGTAGTAGACGAGAGTAAAAAAGGCACTGTCCAAGTAAAAACCGAAAAAGGCCCCAAAGATGACCACACGCATCTTAGCTAGGCGCGGCGGCACCAGCGCCTTTTCGCCCATCCACCACTGTTCGGCCACGAAGCCGATGACGAGGACGCCGGCGACGACAAAGCATGCAATAGTTCGTTTGTCATCCCACGTTAAAAGCGCGCCTCCGAATTGGAGGGCAAGGAGGAATGAGGTGATCCCTGGCAGTAAGAGGAGCATGCCAAGATAATCCAAGCCCCGGATTTTCTGCAGCCAAGGCCGCCGCTGCTCATCGGTTGGTGGGGACGACTTGACGAGAAACAACGTCGCGAGAGCAGGTGGTGCGGCGATTGGAAGGTTGATGTAGAAACACCTGAGAACGATTTGATTTTAGAAAGGTAGATGTTGCATGGCGAGCGGATCAAAGCAAGGGGATGCCACTCACCATCTCCACGTGAGGTAACTGTTCGTAATAACGCCGCCAACTACCGGCCCGAGAACAGCGGCAACACCATAGACCATGCCGATGGCACCTACATACGTCGGTAGGTGTTTTGCAGGAAGTGCTGCTGAGATGAGTACCAAGCAGCCGCTTTGAAGGCCGGATGCACCGAGGCCGGCGACGGCGCGTCCGACGATGAAGACCGCTGAGCTCGGGCTCAATGCGCAGATGAGGGACCCAATCTCGAAGATGGCAAGAGAGATCACGAAAATGATCTTGACATTGAACTGGTTGTACAGGCGTCCAAAAATGAGTTGAAATGCGCAAAGGGTCATTTGGTATGCTGAGCCATACCACTATAAGCTTATTAGCCATAGTTCGCTGAATTGAAATCTGTCCATTGAATAAAACAGGACTTACGCCAACGTCTGTAAGAGATCCAAACTCATCGGTGATGCGCGGAATGGCTGTCGCAATGATGCCTTCATCGAGGAAAGTACACAAAACACCAAGTGCAATCGCCAGCCAAATGACGAATATCTTCCATCCCGGAAGGCTGTCGTTTTCCCTGGTGTGTATGTCTTCATTGTGCGATTCATCGGACTGAGTGCTGCTGTCGAGCACATTGCCCTTTTCCTGCTGAACGTCCATCCTAACATCGGCTGTCTCTGGAGCGGGCGATTTTTCAGAAGCCATTGAGAAGATCAGAATAACTCTGCACTTCAAAGATAGTAGAGAATCTCAGCATAGGTAGACGCAACGGGACCACCTGGGCAACCCCTCAATCGTATTCAAGAAGGGCGAGATCTGAAGTGCCTTGGTTCTATTTCGAGAATAGCACGGCGGAACCTCTGTAGAAATTTCGCCCCGCTGCATCGGCTGACCGCCATGAGAGGATTCAAGCCTAGACATGGATCCCATCACACTGCCCCCAACCCGTATCCGGAAGGCCAAATCGAACATCATGGGTAGATGTTGTGGATGTCTGAGGGGTAAGACAAAGCTCGACATTTCCCATGTTCGAAAATCCACGATATCGGCCACCGGGACGACTCCGCCGCTGCCTTATCGCTGACCACCCCCAGCAAAATGGTAACCACCCCTCTCTTAATGGGGCCGAAGGATTCGTGACTGGGCTACTAGTCACCAGCCTCCAGGCACCTGCATCAAGACTCGTTCTTTCAAGCATTTTTCGTCATGAAGAGTAAGGTCGATAATTGGTTCCCGAGGCACGGGAAGAATCTATGCGAACTGGGAAACCCGGAGACCCGCATACGAACCCATGCAAGGCACAGTATGCAACCACTTTAGAACGCATGCACTACAAAAGAACCGATGGGGGTCAACAGGATTTCCAGCCTTTCGGCGTGGCGAGGCATCACCGCATCGCTGACGAATGAGTGGGATCATGCACACAATAATTGGAGTTGTGTCGCCAAACCAGTCAGCCGTTTGCTCCATATCACTTAAGACTTAAGCATTTTGAGTCTTGACAGAGACATATGATTCAGTATAGACTCTCGAGTGACCAATCGGAACGCACCCAAGTCGATTCCCAACGTCAAAGAAGGCGCTTAGCTATTGTACAGATTCAACTCATTGCACTCCAAGTTGAATTGATGCGGCAATTTAATGCCGAGAAATGCCGCACTCCACCTTCTTTTGGTTTGTGAGCAATGATCAAATATTCAAAGGAACATCGGGAGTGAAAGGTTGCTGTTCTGGACTCAAGAGGAGGGACTACGGCAACCCCGGTCTTCTGAGAGTCACCCTCTCTCGGGCAATCACAACCTAAGAATCCCCATGAAATGGCGCAGCATCGAAGGATTGACGGTGTGAGAGGTCCCGGAATATTTTCCTGTTTGGGGAGGTTGTAGAAGACCGGCGACCAGTCTAGAATACCTGATTTGGAAAACCCGAAGACTGCCTTTTGTAAGTCTTGGTCAAACTTACCCGAGGAGGCGTCGTCTGGGCTGTTCCGCGGTCCGCGCGGCCTGAGTATGGCGACATGGACGGGAGCTATCACGGGAGCCAGTTGATTAGGCCGACAGCTACCTGTGACGTTGAAGGATCTTCCGTGGCCCCGTGTCTAACCTTCTCGGACTCGAGACATGCAAAGGTTCCGAGTCTAGTCCGAAGGAGCGATGGCAGGTCTGTCAGTGCTATTCGTACATGTACGGAAGTCAAGCGGTAAGGCCCTGCGTCCCTTCAAACATACTTTCCCGTACAAGCAGCATATACAAACAACACTGTCCAAGACCTTCCCGCCTTGGCGCCACACTTTCAGGCTTACATCGTGCATGCATCGCCAGTACCTGCGTCGCTGCAACCCAGCCAAATCTTCAACATGTTATCCACAGACGGGAAATGGAAGCTCACTCCTCGACTTCACTCTGTCAAATTTGTGTTCGATGCTCCGATCCCGGCAGATGCAAAATCACCGGACGAGATCTTCTTTGATAATCCATTTCCCGCGGAGATCCCGGGCGTGCCTAAGCGGTTTGTCTTCAAGACACCTACAACTCATGATTTTGATCAGGAGGTTATCGGCCTGCAGACATCAACCAAGCATAATGAAGATGGCCTCGATGCTAATGTCCCATATGACGCACAGGCATCTGATGTGCCAGAAAGTAAGGAAACCTTGACACCATCGACCGACAGTCGAACCAAGATTACGTCTGGCGAATCACAGCCAGGGTCGGTCACTCATCTTCGTGGCCCTACTTGCGACGCACTGGATGACATGGAGTCGATAGTGTGCTCAGCCTGGGCCCTGATACTATCTTCGTTCATCGACAGCGAAATAGTCAACTTTGATGTGTGCGTCTCGAGCAGCGACAATCCTCAGCCTACGAGCAGCGTGACACCGGTCATAGTGTCTATTGACACCCAGATTTCAATTTCGGCATTTCTTCAGCAAATCAAAGACAATGGGCCTGTATCCGAATCAGTCAGTCAAGGGCTCGGAGCTTTTCGCGAAACCGGGGGTGAACCATTCTTCAAAACGCTTATCAACTTTTCGACAATTAGTCTTCAACATCAGCAACAGCCAGCCAATGCTCACAGTTTTGCCTTCCAGCTTCACTGTCTCGTCCAAGGGCAAGATCTGCAGTTATCTGCAACATTCAATGAGTGTTCTATTCCAAAGGCGACAGTTCGTCTGCTACTGAGTGATCTGGAGCACGTTATTTGGCAGTTGGCAAACTCGACTGGAGAGCACTCCACTCTTGCGGATGTACAGATCATGAGTCCTGCGAGTCAAAGGCATCTTGTCAAATTGAATAGACCGTAAGTTTCATTCCCTTCCACAGTCTACCATTTTGTTAGTTTTGTGCCTACCTTATCTAACGTGAGAAAGGCTCCCGACAAGAGAAGAATATCTCGTTCAAGAGTTGATAGCAAAACATGCCAAGTCAAATGCTCAGGCACATGCTATCTGCGCTTGGGACGGTACCTTGTCGTATTCCGAGTTGCAGCGTTCATCCGAGATTCTAGCGGCGCATCTTGCTAGTCTTGGAGTCGGACCCGAGGTAGTGGTACCGATCATCTTCGAAAAATCCGTCTATAGTATCATCTCCATTCTGGGTGTGGTGATGGCTGGAGGAGCGGTCGTGGTCTTGGATCCCTCGCTCCCTGCAGCCCGCATCAGCATGATCATCAAAGACGTGGATGCCAAGGTCGTTGTGTCGTCCAGCGTCAGCGAAAACAAGATCCCATCACAAATCCAACAGGATAACCGCGTTTTGGTCAACCAGTCTTTCTTGGAGCGTTTGTCAATTGTACGACAATTTCCGTTGAAGCACATTTCACCTTCCCCTAGCAACGCGCTGTACGTTGTGTACACGAGTGGTTCTACCGGAAAGCCGAAGGGTGTTATAATCACTCATGAAACATTTTGTTCCAGCGCCAAGGGCTTCACCAAAGCCATCCACCTTGACTCTCCCAACTGCCGGGTATTGCAGTACTCCTCCTTCTCCTTCGACATTTCTATGCTCGAAGTCTTTGCTACCCTGATGACGGGATCATGTCTTTGTATCCCATCAGAGGAAGACAGGATGAACAACCTCGCCAGCTGCATCTCTAGCATGAAGGTCAACTGGACGATGCTGACACCTTCTGTTGCAAGCCTAATGGTACCGGAGGAAGTTCCAAGCCTCGAGGTTCTGTGTCTCGTGGGAGAAGCATTGCCGCAGGCTGTCGCTGACACTTGGGCCGACCATGTCAAAACCATCAATGCTTACGGGCCGGCAGAGTGCTCCGCTATCACCATTGTCAGTGAGCCGAGGACTAAGGGGGTGAAGAGCATTTCTCTTGGAAGACCTCCCAACTGCGCCGCCTGGATTGTTCGAGGAGACGGCCAGCTTGCTTCATTCGGCGCTGTTGGTGAGATTGTGATCGAGGGCCCGCCCGTTGCGCGTGGGTACCTGGGCGACGAGGAGAAGACAAGGGCCGTCTTCTTGGATGATCCTGATTTCCTGCGCGGCGTCGTCCGAAAGCCCATGCGATGCTATCGCACTGGTGATCTCGGAAAGATGAATCATGATGGGACCATCGACTTTCTTGGCAGGAAAGACACTCAGGTCAAGATCAATGGACAGCGTGTTGAGCTTGGCGAGATTGAGCATCAACTCAGACAACAGTTGAATTCCGAAAACCTACCCTCGTCTTCTGGGATGAACTGGGAATTGATTGTCGAGCTCCTGCGCCCTGTTAGAGGAGAGCAAAACATCCTCACGGCATTCATCGCCCCCAAGACAATTTCTGGAACCCATTTTCATGGAGAAGGGCAACTTATCATTGAGGAGTCACACTCTCTGTGGACGACAATACATCGGAAATTTCTGAAAGCCACTGGAGACCTCGCCAGTGCTCTTCCTGGATACATGATACCAAGGGCAGTTGTACCATGCAGCACATTGCCCCTGTCACCGTCGGGCAAGGTCGACAGGAAGACACTCCGCACGTACGGAAACGCATTGACGTCGAAACAGCTACTGAGATCGCCAAGCGACATGGAAGAACACACTAAGTCGGTTGAGTTTCCTGGAGGGCGGTCTACAGATTTCCCCGATAGCGAAGAGGAGTCTTCAATCGGACAGCACACGCTGTTATCAGACACATACCCCTCAACTGAGGCTTCGATCTCGCTATGCGAGTCTCCACAGTCTAATCTTACACCAACTGAGAAGTCGCTACGGCTGGCTTGGTCAGAAGTTTTAGGGCTACCCGAAGACTCAATCCTGCTCGAGGATGACTTCTTCAAGCTCGGCGGAGATTCCATCGGGGCTATCAGAATCGTGGCGGCTTGTCGGAAGCAATCACTCCAGATCAATGTTGCGAACATCTTCAAGAACTCTGTACTGGGCAAAATGGCTCTCGTTTGTAAGAGTACGACATCTGAGAAGCAGACAGTGTCTCCTGTCCAGTTCATTCCGTTCCAGTTCTTGCGGCAAGAGGATATCCCAGAGCTGCAAGAGGAAGCTGCTTTCCAGTGCGACGTGGTTGTGAACAGAATTGAAGACTTGTACCCTTGCACGCACATGCAAGAGGGTCTGATGGCCGTCAATCTCACGCGACCAGGTAGTTACACGGGTCGATGGGTTCATCCGCTGCCTCGTGACGTCGATCTGTCGCGGTTCAGGAAGTGCTGGGAAGATATCCATGCCGCATCACCAATACTGCGGACCAGGTTCGCAACAACTTCAACTGCTGGATCTCTTCAAACTGTTATCAGTGAGAATGTCCAGTGGCTTTTGCACGACGATCTCGAAGTATACCTTGAGCAAGACGATGCGAATCCAATGTTTCCTGGAGACTCGCTTAATCGCTTTGCTTTGGTCACATCAAAATCTGGCGATGTGACGTTCGTATGGACAATACATCACATGCTTTATGACGGCTGGTCCCTGGCCATGCTCTGCGACCGACTCAACGATTCGTATCACGGCCGCTCTATCAAACCAGCAACCGATTACCGCAACTTTATCGAATACACACAAAACATCACGTCAGAGACATATGCGACTTACTGGAAGACAGAGTTACAAGCAGTGAGCTTGCCAAATTTCCCAGCAGCTCCCAAGCCTGGCCACCAGTCCATTGCCCGAGCTGTGATCCGCGATGAACTTTGTATCAACGTTGATCAGTCTTCAGGAATCACCATGTCAACTATAGTTCGAGCAGCATGGAGTCTCATGATAAGCCATTTCTCCCAGTCAAACGACGTGCTTTTCGGTGCAACAGTCTCAGGTAGGAATGCGCCATTGGATAACATTGAAAGTGTCGAGGGTCCGACGATAGCCACAGTGCCTGTCAGAGTTCGCCTTGACAAAGGGTCTGATATCCTCGATTTTCTACGAAAGATCCAGGATCATGCCACAGCAATGATACCCTATGAACAGTCCGGAGTCCAACAGATCAAATTACTCAACGAAGACACAAGGCGCGCCTGCGAATTCCAGAATCTGCTCGTCATCCAGGCAGGCGGCGGCTGGGATGAGACTGGGCCCGGCCCCCTCGGGAAGCCCATCTATCGCGAGGAGTTTACCACATTCCCTGTGACATGCGAGGCATGGCTTCATTATGGACGGATTGAGTTTGCGACGCATGTCGATGAAGATGTAACAAGTCGGCTATTTGTTGCTCAAGCCATTGAAACAGTGAAGGTTGTCATTAGTCAACTCGCTTGGGCTACATCTCAGAGCTACAGACCTTCTCAGATTGCAGACTTGGCCTTTGAGTCAACCTCTACATCTGTCCAACAACGAGCTTCTCAAACTCTCGAAGCAAAAGAGGTCTCGGCTACACTTCATCAGCTCATAACAAAGACGAGTCTGGCGCAACCCCAGAGAGATGCAGTCGTCTCCACAGCCGCCTCACTCTCTTACGAAGAGCTGGAAGACATATCCACGGCACTTGCTGTCCAACTCATCGACAAGGGCGTCTTGAAGGGAGACAGTATTCCACTGTGCTTCGAGAAATCTATCTGGACTGTCGTTGCTATGCTTGGGGTCTTGAAAGCCGGCGCTTCTTTCGTATCCTTAGACCCGAGCCAGCCCGTATCACGTCTACGAAAGGTTGTTACGCAGGTCAAAGCCAAAACAGTTCTTATGTCTGCATTCCAACACAAGGCAACTGATCTTGGTGCTGTTGCGTCCCTGATCGTCAATCGGGATACTCTTGGCGGGATCTCCAAGCTCCAGCATCAACGACAACCACCAGCTCAAGTGACCCCCGACAGCCCTGCATACATCATCTTCACTTCTGGTTCGACGGGAGATCCCAAGGGTATTATCGTTTCCCATGCCGCGTTTGCCTCCAGTGCGATGGCCCACGGTTCCGTCTTCGGTATGAGCCATGAGCATCGCGTCTTGCAGTTTTCCGCGTACAGTTTCGACGCCAGTCTGTTTGAGATCCTCACGACCCTAATACACGGCGGAACTGTTTGTGTCGCTACTGAGAAAGAACGCTTTGAGAATCTCGGAGACTTTGCAAGTTCCACGCGTGTTAACCTCGCGCTTCTCACTCCATCGGTGGCTCGCATCATTCGTCCCACAGAGATGCCGTCTTTGAAAACTCTAGTTCTGGGTGGCGAAGCTCCCGATGAGGCCTTGATCAAGAAATGGCTTGACGCTGGGCTGACTCTCTTCAACGCGTACGGCCCGAGTGAATGCTCCGTCATTGCTGCTTGTCATTCGTGTACCTACGATACGGACCCGAAAACCATCGGAAAACCTGTCGGTTGCTCTGCGTGGGTTATTGCCGCAGATGATGACACGGTACTGGTTCCGAATGGACAAGTTGGCGAGTTACTCATAGGTGGTCCGACTTTAGCCGATGGCTACTTAAATGACTCTGAGAAAACAATTGCTACGTTTCTCTCGCGAGTGCCATGGATATCTAGAGAGAAACATACGAGCACATATAGGTTGTACAAGACTGGGGATCTTGTGAAGAGAGCGACCGACGGAACTTTGGTGTACGTGGGACGAAAGGACCTCCAAGTCAAGTTGAACGGCCAACGAATCGAACTCGGCGATATTGAGTCACATATCGCTGGATGTTGTTCCGTCAAGCGCGGGATTGTTGTTTTCCCCTCGTCGGGACCATTCTCACACCAACTTGTGGCGGTTCTTGAGCTTGAGGAAGAAGAAGAGGGCGAGAGACTGTCTAGTCTTCACCAGATCATGACTCGATTCAATATCGTCGCAGAGGAAATTCGCCAAGAGTTGAACGGCAAACTTCCAAGCATCATGCTTCCTGCACACTTCATTGACGTTGCGACCCTCTCTCAAGAAAGATTTCCACTTTCGACCTCAGGCAAGGTCGACAGGAACAAGGTCACAGCATGGGTCCAATATCTGTCCGTCAGAGAATCTGCGATCCTCGACACTTCTGCACCGATACCAAGTACAGTGGCGATAATCCAGTCCCACGAGCTCCCCGCCTACGAGCTGGCACAGGAGATCACAAATTTGGTGTCTCAGAGGACTCCTTCACCAGGGCCCCGGCTAGACGGCTTCAACGATCTGCTGTTACACACCTCAGGTCTAGATTCTCTCAACATGATGTCGCTCATGCACTTCGTTCGCCTGAAGTATAATGTCAGAGTCAGCATGCAGCTGCTCATGGACGAGCAAACGAGCATCAGGAAGCTGGCAGCTTTCATCAGCCGTGCTGCTTCCAATGATCTAGTGCCTTTGACGTCTTCTACCATCAACTCTGAGACTCGGCGAATTGATTTGATGGCTGAAATCGATCGCTTAGATGCGGGGCTCCAGAAACTTCCAGGCATATTATTTCAAGATGTCCAAGACAATTTCACCAAGAAGACAGGCAATCTCAGGGTTTTCCTTACTGGTGCAAGTGGATACTTGGGTACTCAAATTCTACGACAACTTCTGGAACGGCGCGATGTTGCGCTTGTCACCACTCTCGTACGCGGAGCGACACCTGAAGCAGCGAAAGATCGTGTGGTTGAGGCTGCACAAAAAGCTCTGTGGTGGACAGAATTCCACGAAGACAAGCTGGACGTCTGGATGGGGGATCTTGCGAAGAGTATGCTCGGCCTCGGCCAGAACCAATGGGATCTGCTGAGCGATGGACACACATTCGATATCATCATTCATAATGGTGCGATTGTCCATTGGAACAAGAGCTATGCTGCCTTAGAGGCGGTCAACATCCGCTCAACAGTCCAGCTTCTTGGCATTGCCGTTCAGAATCCGGCTATGCGATTTGCATATGTGTCTGGTGGACGACAATGGAGGAGTACCGAAGAACGAGACGAGGATATTGCGCGAGAGCTTTCGGACTCTATGGGATACAGCCAGACAAAGTTCGTTGCTGAGGTTCTCGTCAAGAGAGCTGCGGAGCGGTGTCCGGTCTCACAGCGGAATATTCGCGTCTTCAGACCTGGGCTTATCATCGGGACACCCGCGGAAGGTGTGGCAAATTTGGACGACTACATCTGGAGGCTCACGGCTGCAAACATTGAAATGGGCATCTACAATGCGGACGAGGAGCAGGCATGGCTGCATCTCTCCGACGCTGCTACAACTTCGGTAGCTGCCATTCGCACCGCATTCAATCCAGGTTCATCTGCTAGTCCGGTGACACAGCATGAAGAGGGAATAACTTGGGGAGCGTTCTGGACTTTGGTCAAGGGAATGGGCTATAAAATCCGTCCTGCGCGTGCTGCTCAATGGCTATCAACAGTCAGAAACGACATCTTGCGTCGGAAAGAGGAGCATCCCCTTTGGCCGCTGGCTCACCTGCTCGAAGACGGTAGTATGGAGTGGGAAGAGGCGGCCAAAAGCCAAGATATGTGTCCGTTGCAGCTCAAGGTAGCTTTGAAGAAGAATGTTGAAGCTCTGGTGAGGGTGGGTTTCCTGCCGGCCGCGCGTCAAGCCCAAGATCTTCGAGTTGTTGGGGGCACTTTTTCTAGGACATGAGTAAGCCGGATGCTTTGTTTGTAATTGTGGAATTACGCGATTGGATTCTTTCGAAATAGAGATGCCTAGAGCAAAATGCAAGTTGGCAGCGCGAGGCGTTGTGTTTGCAGCATGAGTCGGCTACTTGTTGTTCCATGTCTATCAAGTCTGACTCGAATTTTATCTTGGCGCGTAGTATAGATGCTGAGATAAGACCCCTGTGCCCGTCGTGGTGACGTAGGTGATGCACTGTCACGAGGCGGGATGTTTAGCTTGTCATTCACGCCCTTGTACAACCCATGGCAGCCTAAAAATATTGAGAGAATTAAAAAGTTGTTCATCTTATCTGTTTAATTCGGTCTTTGGTCTTCAGAAAACCTTCGACCTGGTTCATCATAAAATCACACATTTTCCGAGGCTCACAACCTTCTCTGTACGGCAATGGACGACCCAGTAACAATCAAGGCACAATGCATGTGTAAAGCACACACATTCTCTGCTTCACTGCAGAAATCCGCATTGCCGCTCAACGCGTCTTGCTGTCACTGCACTTCCTGTCGCCGACTGACTGGATCTCTCTACAACCCTGCCGTCGCGTGGCCAGACGCCTCTGTAGACCTATCTGGCCTGCGGAAATATCCGTTTTCGAAACACTTTGATGTTTATTCGTGCGGTACTTGCTCGTCACAACTCTTCGCCCGTGGTCACAATGCCAGCATCGCTCCTTATGTCACGACCGGCGCATTGGAGAACGTCCCTGGTCTTGTTAAATATGACAACCATATGTTCATTAGCGACACTATTGATGGCGGCTTTGCGCCATGGCTTCCGAAAGAAGAGAATGGAGACCCGGTTCAGCGCTGGAATGGGCATCGTAACAGCGAAGAGGTTCCATTCGACTGGCCGGTCAGCAAGTCTATCCCTACCTCTCGGCTGAATGCTAGTCCTTCTCCGTCATCGACCCAGTTCCACTGTCACTGCAAGGGCGTCCAGCTATCGCTGAGAAGCGCGGCGGACTTGAAAGCGGATCCGGCGAAGGAATCGACGTCGACGTGTGTAGATCCCAAGACGCTCAAGTTCAAGGCATGTTCCGATTCGTGCAACTCTTGCCGCCAACACTTCGGCTCAGACATCATCGCCTGGACCTTTGCTCCTCTCACACATATCAACTTTAGCACTGAGCCCACATCCGCGCCGTCCCAGTTTCCGCAGACAATCGCTGAACTCAAAGAAGCAGTTCTATCCAAGACCAAAGATCCACGCCTCGGGACATTGGCGGTTTACAACAGCTCCCCCGAGGTAGAGCGATACTCCTGTTCAGTGTGTTCAGCCAGCATATTCTACGCCGTTTACGACCGTGAAGACATGGTTGACATCGCGATTGGATTGTTGGATCATCCGGATGGCGCACGTGCCGAAGGATTGTTGGCTTGGAATTATAGCCTGCTTGGGTGGACAGCGGATGCGGCAGGCGGATGGCGAGAAAGACTAGTTGCAAGAACGAAGGATTCTATGAAGGAGTGGGCCCACTCCTTGAACGAGGATCAGAGCACCAAGGACTAGAGAGCAGGTCAAAATCATCTAAAAGAATCTCAACGCCCTCGATGGCTGGACAAAGAAAAGGCTGCTCGATGTTGCATAGCGGCCTGGCGAAAAATCGCGTGCCGCGGGTCGAGGCTTCAGGGACGACACTGCGGACCGGATGATCATCTGGTCATCTGCGTCGATGGTTTAGTGGTAAAATTCTCCGTTGCCATCCAGCAGCGTCGGGGAGCCGGGGGTTCGATTCCCCCTCGACGCAATCTTTTACTTTTTGACAGTAGAAAACGTTATGTAAAGAGCTATTGTGCCCGTCAATGTGACTAGCTTACACTTCTTACACTTTGTTCATCGAGGTGGCTCTTTACACTTTATTGTATGGCTCGATAACCCTTTCTTTTCATTAACTACCAACATCTTTTTCTATCACCATAAGCGAAAGACGGAAAGTTCTCCATGTGTGATTGTATAATCATTCGGCACCGCCATCGTTGACAGAAACAGATTCCCAAGACCTTCCGTAGCCAGTAGGGAGTTGTATATGATTCCTATGGGCGATGCAGCAAGCATGACTGAGGTACCGTTGCTGGCAGATAAGAGCTTCGGCGCCAGCCTCATGAGCCTTAAGCCCTCCATCGACGGCTGCCACCTATGTTTGACCTCATTTGGTGTGTAAAGAGGATCTTCCGCTGGCTTGAGCATTGTTCTTTCGATATCTTCAGGGAATGGTACTGGATGCCGCCTGCCTGTATCCAAAAAAGCTTGTAGATTCATAAGCTGTGTGATTGAAGCATTGTAAATGATGAGCTCGGCAGCCTGTTCCGGCGTCTTCACCTCGATTGGCTTAGCCAGCAAATCTTTAGCCCAGGGCAGTGATATGTCTTCCGCTCCTTCGTCGAGAGGCATGTCAAATTCCTTCGCAGCACCCGGGTTGTTGTACTCCCAGCTCCATCTCCAATCACGTAGATCCCTAAGAAGCTGATCAATCTTAGCACGCGCGGCCTCTATCTCGTTGTTGAACAACAGTCGGTTGCTTGATGCGACGGAAAAGGTGAGACCGGGAATGTCGACAAAAAGATCCATCAGGAGGTCGTGGGAGGTCTTGGGTATGAATTGCCACGGAATGGTTTTCCACCTCGTTTGTTCAAAGAAAGTGTGGTCATGCTCATTGAACGAGTTACACGCCTGATACCAAAGTACTTTCTATCAGCAGAGACCACAAATAGTCAAGAAATCAAAGGATCAAGCCTGAAATCCTCTTACGTGAAGCGCCCTGATTTGGCGTAAGTAGGTCAACATCGGCTCTTGCTGAAAGCACTCTGGCCCGCACATTTCTATAATTTTCGACATGCCGTAATAATGAGGAACGTTGGGCACGTTCTCCACCGCATACTGTACTTGTCAGCATAGGAATTGTGATGTCAAGCGCGTACGTGTGACCGAAGTTCTTTTTCGAAGACTTACTTGGTAAAGACTTAGGATGATGATTGTAAAGGCCCACCTAGCCAATTCCTGATTGGACTTCGCTGACACGGCGTGATGTAACGCTCTAATTACTTTGCCATTTAACTCATAGCCCTCGGCCACCATGCTCGGCTCGTTGACAGAATTTCCCATGAAGCCGAGCGCGGTCGCCAGACTTCCTGTGTAATCTGCCCTGGCCACGTCTGAATCTAACTCTCCGTCTAATGACATTCGAAAGAGAGGTTTCCAGAACGGAGCCCAGCGGTAGTGCGCTACAAGGTGGGAAAAAGCCATCCGATTACGGAAAGCTGTGAAAGGGAGCTCTGGAACGATGTCCTGGTGAACTACAGTGCTCGAGCTTGTGTTTGATACTCTGACTAGTTGTTGACTGCCACCAGCATCGCCAGTGGCGGCAAAATTCTGCATCCGGAGTGGCAACTCGTAGCCCAGGCATTTGTGGCCGGATTTGAGACATCTCTCGCATGCAGGTCGAGCTTTGTCTACGTAATTCCAGGTGCGTGTTAGTGACATAGCTGTATTTGAACTTCTGTAGGCTGAAGTTTTCACAGAAGGGGCAAGACAAACATACCACACTTGACCCGTCTTCGTCGACAAGTATGACAATAGCCACTAGTTGGCGGACGTCCCATAGTAAAATGTACTGTTGGGTAACGTAGGTGAATTTTGTTCAAGGCAAGTAAGAATGTTTACGATGGCTATGCCAACTATGAGCCCACTGGAGTTGCTTGCGAAAAAGATTGAGGAATCTGTCGCCGCGGACGTTCTTGTTATGGAAGATGGACTTAGCATGATATATATTGCTTCTGAGTCAATAAAGAGAGCAACAAAAAACCCCGTCTTGAAATGTTGTCGAGTAGAATCGATCATGTTGTCCCATCATCCAATATTGAGAAGACCCACCCCTGTCTTCAGTGCCGGACATCACGGAGACGTGGGGCGAAAAAGATCGAGTAAGCAAAACGAGCGGCAAAATCCACTTAGTCGCGGGCGCTGCAGGTAACAAGGCACTTTTAGACTATTTAGTCATCCCAGAAGATGTAAGGTAAGCCGCACTCTAATTCCCTTCGGTTCTAATGCATCACTTGGCAGCAGAAAGTCCGAAGCCCCCACTGGCTGCTCATTGGCCAGGCTCATGCTGACCGCAGCTTCATCTAGTTATTCGGTTTCTAGTCCAATCATGGAGACGTATTTAGACCTGCACGCGAAGATCGCCACGGGTCCTTTTTAGATAATCACGAGGATTGTATGCCGAAAAGAGGCGCTGGTCTCATCGGTGCCTCTTGTCACTTCGTTGCCTTCATGGATAATGACAGCATCGTTGCGGTGGATCACAGGTTGATATCAGCCCGTACTCGATTGTTTACCTATTGCGTGCTGGCATTCCTTCTTTGGCGTATTACGTTAGCAGGCGAAGTTGGAGGTTGGTTGATGATCCGCTGGATCGTATGATGTAGAACTTATGCTGCATTCAATAAGCATTTGGTCCTGACGATCTGTGCCTTTGATCATCTACATTTGCCAAACGTATTAGTCTGTTCTATTCTGAATGCCCCTGATCGATATCCCGGTGAAGTGATGAAGTGACACCTTTTAAATAATAAGGTAGCCACATTGCCCGCAAGACCTGATAAGCTGAGGCAATCGGTGGCTGAGAGCAGGGATATAAGAATCAGAGTTGAAGAAGCGTATCTCGTTATTGATACTGGATCTCCGATGGTTCTTTTAGCGGCTCCTTCCGACTGACTCACGGTGGATTGGTTCTCCACGATTGGCATGTGTGTGCTAACTGATTCTGATATGACTACTAAGTAACTTACCGTCTTTCCACTGCCTAGGCGCACACACCGAAGGAACTACGGCCAGACGGTTCCTCTTAACCATACTCTAAAAGTACGATTGTTTATTTTCATGCGTTCTTCGCAACTAGCACTCCGGGTAGCGGATTGCCTGTGGTCAAAACTTTTCATGTCGCAATGGCCAAGAGTTAGCCGGGAGTACTTAAATTCATTTGAGAAGGCTGCATCGGAGGACCGCTGCGTGACTTTGGGAGCATTGGTTTAAATAGGGCTTCAGAGCTGAGATGTAGAGCCGGACATGTCTTCTACTAATATCATCATTCACATGTTCCATCTCTTGGATGCAAGTGATGTTCCCAGCTGAACTTGATGAAATAAGGACACTGCCAAGGCACTTGGTGAAAGGTTTTCTCACTGGTAGTCGGAATATCAAGAGTCGTATGTCCATTGCTTTCTTGATATCAACAGACAAACTACATGCCGGCGCTGGAGTGCTCGATTACCTTAGTCAGGTAGGTAAAGTATAGGTTTGTTTATACAAGCGATCCGTTCTTGCTATTAAGCTCTCAACAGTCCCTATATAATTAGCAGACAAAAAAAAAAAAAAGGCCACCACTGTTGTGGCTACATAAGGTATCTTGGTGCCCATGCTGGGATCGAACTCGGGTAGTTACTTACTCATACGCGCTGAGCCTGTCGTCGAGTAGGCTGATTGGCGTATTTATTATTGACCGTGAACCACTCCACCACCCAGGCAGTTGGACCTGACCCGCTGGCCTAGACGGACGCCTTCTGGCCAGTGGCAGCATTTGGATTGAGAGGCTTTATCAAGGCTTCCTGTGTGTGAGGGTGGTGGAATATTCATTAGGTGAAGGCTTGGCCAACAAGGAAGGTCCGGCCATCACCTCTTTGTCTCCTTCCCCGGCCTGACCGCAGTTGAGCAGGCACACTTTCCAGACCTTGCCCCCCTATTTCGAGGGGATAGTGATGGTTTAGGACATCTTATCCGTAGAACCGATTGATTTACATGCCATTTGCAGTATTGCTAATCAAACATGCTTTTGCAGGGTGACTTCGCACAAACTCAAATATTCAAGCCTGTAAGGGGAGACTCCGCCCGATCCGACCACGATTATTACAAAAGGAGCTCCATTTGTACAATAAGCTGGAATAGTGATCTTAAAGCTCGGTTTCTCTAGCTCCAATTTTACCACCCAAAACCGGAAGGTAACGGTCTTTTTCATCATGGGGCTGACTTTATACGGCTTGTTGATTGTAACTTCCGTGGTTCAGGCAAATTCATTCCAACACCTGGCAGAGAGAGCTCTCAGTGATTCGTACGACTATGTCATCATTGGCGGCGGAACTGCTGGCATAACGCTGGCGTCAAGACTCAGTGCCGACAACTCTCGTGAGTTGAACGCTCATGATACGTTCATCGAACATGCTTTAGGTAGCTTTGCTGACACACCGAGAATCTACAGGCACAGTTCTAGTTATTGAGGCAGGATTGCCGTCAGTGGGCTTCTCAAGGAATCGTACAGTTGGTGAAGATGTCTGACTTCCAGCCAGTGACGACTATGAAGCCGCTGTGATGATCCCTCGCTTCTACCCAGGGGCCTCTGGCTTTGCTCCGAACACCCGGTACGACTGGAACTTGACTTCAATCTCGCAAAAGTTCCTATCAGGGCAGACCATCAACCTCACGCAGGGGCATACAGTCGGTGGAAGCAGCACGGTTAATGCGATGATTTTCGGTCGCGGAATGCCTTCCAACTATGACGCCTGGGCCGCTCTTGGAAACGAGGGCTGGGATTTCGCGGGTCTGCTGCCTTACTTCATGAAGGTGCGCTTGTAACGGTCGGCAAGAAGCATGGATGTTGGTTGCGCTAACGCATTTCTCTTAAACGTGAAGAGCGAAAGCTTCACCGCAGCAACGCCTGAGAATGCGGCCACGTATGATATGATGTTCGATGCCGCTTGCCATGGTTTTGAAGGACCGGTCCAATCAAGCTACCTAGCATGGTCACATCCGAACAATAGCAAGTTACTACCCCGCACCTGTAAAATACTTCTGTGTTAACTAATTTTACCAAAATTATATAGCAAACTTCCTTGATGCCATGCATGGGCTGGGAATCAATACGCCTTTGGACCAAGGCTGCAGCCCACTTGGTGTATACCTGACTACTCATTCTATCCACCCAAGAAATCAATCAAGATCAAGTGCAAGAACAGCTCATTATGATCACATTGTGGGCAGAGTCAACCTTGACATACTCACTGGGCACCAAGCAACAAAGCTGTTGTTCAGTACTGGCGGAGAAAAGCCTAGAGCTACGGGGGTTGAGGTGGGTTGTGTTACAGTCCTGGAGAGCTCTCGGCGGGGAAAGATGTGCTGACTTCGACTTGGAAAAGTTCTCACCCGGACCTGGCTTGAAAGTCAATAGAGTTGAAGCTCGTCAGGAAGTCATCGTGTCAGCAGGTGCTCTGAATACCCCGAAGCTTCTACAACTGTCCGGCATCGGGCCAGCATTCCTCACGTCTCAGCATGGCATTCTCTCAATAATCGACTTACCAGGCGTCGGCGCAAATCTGCAGGATCATCCATTCGGGCTAATGCTTGCTTCTTGTAAGTGCACTGGCAAGTCTCCAGTCATATGGAAGTCATTGCATGGCTGACTCACTTGACACATATTAGTGAGTACCGGGATACCCGGGAATTACGAGCTGGAAAACTCAACATTTGATGCTGAGCAAAGGGATCTCTACTACTCGGAACGAAAAGGTCAGTCCAGCAGTTGAGACATTGAAGTTTCTTCTGAACAATTAAGTTTTTAGGGCGCTGGACGGATACTATTGCAGAAGCGCTAGCGTTTATCCCTCTCTCGAACTTCACCCAGTCAGATGTCACTGGCAGATTACTGTCTGCTATCAGCAGTAGCACCGCTGAGTATCTCCCAGAGGACACTGACCAAACTGTCAAAGAAGGGCACTCGCGACAAGTAAAGCAAATTCTTCAAATGCACCAAGGTAATTCCACGGCCGGTATGGAGCTTCTTTACGTGGATGGTGGACGCTCAATAGTGAATATCCTGATGCACCCATTAAGCCGAGGAACGATTGCCATTAACTCCACCGATCCTTTTGCGCCCCCGGTCATCGACCCTCGCTATCTCTCTCACCCTTACGACGGCCAGGTGTTAGTTGAGTCACTACGGTTCAACCGAAAACTTCTGGCTACACAGCAAGTCGAAGCTCTTGGAGCAACGGAAACGCTGCCAGGGGTTCATATCACGAGCGATTCTGACATTTTGGAATTTATCAAAGGAGTCAGCTCTACAGAGTATCACTATGCTGGGACCTGCGCTATGCTTCCGAGGCCACTTGGTGGTGTCGTGGATTCTAACCTTAATGTGCATGGGATCGATGGCTTGAGGATAGTCGATGCTAGTATCATGCCTTTACTTCCTTCGGCGCATACCCAGGCGACGGTCTATGCAATTGCTGAAAAGGTAAAATTGTGCCCCTACGCATCGAATGACGTGAATGTGAGCGAGAGTAGTGCAGTGACTTTAGTGCTGACTGACTTCTTTTACACAGGCAGCGGATATTATCGTGAAGCAATATTCTTGATGAACGGGGTGGAAGTGGGGTTACTTGAAGATGGAGAAATAGACGAGGGGACGGTGGACAACTGTCTTGTCGAGATATCAATTGGCTGGTAGCTCCTCTAGTCACTCCGGACAATCAAATCCACTGGGTTTGGCGGCGCAGATAGTTTGTTTTACTTCTGTGACTGGTGCAACCTGCTGTTACATTTGCAATGACTTGTCAACCCTGCGAATCGCAGGAAACGTCGTAATTAAGGAGGTGGTCGTCCACTTTCGCCTGGGACATCTGACTGGCAAATAACTCTTGAGTGCCTCAGCTTGCTGTTATGATCATTTCTCACAAAAAGACTGCAGGCACAGCCGTTCATGGCTTGTAAGAGTTACAGACAGAGGGATGGCAGACTGGGGGAGGGATGGAATATGGAAAATCCTTGTGTGCACCAGAGGGCTGGGCCGGAATAGCGGTGCCGTCTTCTGCATGTCAGCATGTCCCGCCGCAAGGATGTGCTACTCGAGCCAATGATGACCACTACCGATTCTCGCGAACAGGGGACTGAGGCCCCTCACCGACCGACTTAACCAACCAACTGGGACGATGACTTCAGCCAGCTGGCCATTTTGCCTAGTGCTTACTCCGGGGCTGAAGTTGCTGGACTATGGCTTCCATATCTACACAGTAAGGTTCCAGTCTTGAACATGATCCTGATATTGGAGATTGACTCCGGCCTTCTTTTTTGATTTCCTTTTGAGGCAAAACTAAATCTTGGGTTGGAGCGATAGGATTCGGGGCCTGCTTTGCTAATACCACTAGACTGATGGACGGTGTCGGGGCGAACCTTAGTTTAGCTGTAATCTGGCACGGATGATCGAATGAGATGCCAACAATTTTCAGCACTAGCATATCCGCTAGAAGTTCATATGACCACCACGCTTCATCGAGCGGGATGGCCTTACGGCCCTGGTCTCCCAAGACCATTTGAATCGTTTGTTGCACTTGTTCCATTATGGGGAACTGCAGGGGTTACACGTGATACTTGAGCCTGCACAGGGGCTGATTTTGGCTGCCTAGCTTAACTGCATTTTGTCTCAGCCAGGCTCCGATCAGGCTGGCTGCACGCCACCGGAGAAAATCCTTCATAAATCAGGCTCTCTGCTAACATTTTCTTCTTTGAATATCTCAAGAGAGTTTTGGCCCGAATACTCACTGAACTTGCATCTTGGAAGCTCAATGTCCCTTTTCACAATCGTTCCGAGTGCTTAGAGGAGCAACGTCAATTGCTTGCATCCAAGAGAGCTGAATCCGATCGCCAACATGTCGTCATCTGACCCCACAAGCTCATCCGGCAGCGACAGCGACAACAATGACAACCAAGTTGAATTGATCGTGGCCGTTGTGGCCTTGGTAATTTCGGTTCTCGCCTTCATCATTGCGATTTTCCAGGCCCTCCAACAATACTACGCGTCGGCAACGGGCTACTCATCATGCACCCCAAAAGTCATGGGAGATTGGGCGAGGTTCACACGACGACGGTTCAAATGGTACGAGTTCCGTTTTGAAGTGGAATTTGAAGTTCCCGTCATATTCGTTGCGCCGCCGACGAACCCACGGGGACCCCTCGGCGTACACGACGACAAAGAGATTACCTACATGACCGGGACGACAGACAGTTACAAGAAGACGTATACCTGGGACCAGGAGGAGTACGACAAGCATTCCAAAACTTTGCGGGCAGGGATGACGCGACAAGCTATCCACACCGCCGACAACGAACTCGCAAACTGGACAAGTTTGCTGATGGCAATCCAGCGTATGGAGAGGGAGTCTCGGACCTGGCAAGACAAGGAGTATTTCGGATACAACCCTCAATGGGAAGCCCAGACACCGTGTCACCCGACACAGTCCAGCACTATGGTGCCCTACACTCTTACCGTTGGCATGCAGAGGAAGAAGAAGTCTTGGGATAGTATGCCGGACAACATGAAAAAACCTTACGCAACGACAACGATCTCACACCTAGTGGAAATGGCGGCAATGTTGGGTGTTCACTGGAAAGAGTTTAACCGGAACGAGGACCGGTACCGCGGGCAAGGCAATGGATTCAGCATCACCGGCTACGACGTTGATGATCTCGGTGTTGTCTTTACGTTTGAGAAGACTGGTCCGACTTGGTTCCACGAGAACAGGGTGGTGCCGAACAATAAGGTCAAGGAGCTCTGCTTTGGATATTGTCCAACAATTTTCCGCCAGCAAAACAACGACAACTACAAGTACGCAGACGAACCAAAGGATATTGGAACACTACAGCTTGGTAGCATGTCGGCTATTGCAGAGACTCTGGTGGTGATCGGTTGCAACACTAACACTGTCCGGCATTTCCGAAAGCCTACTCCAGACACAAGACACATCCATCTCTTCCCAGGTAAGTCTTGCCATCAATCATCATATCCACGAGATTCAAACACTGACTGTCATGTTTTAGTTGCTTTCGAGATCCTAGGTATGGTGGGTGCCGTCCTCCAGATCCCCGGCACGGCTTTCCGTATGCTTCCCAACCCAACCATCTGGCATTGGGACCGAAAATCATTTTCACTGAGGACTTTCCTCAGCGACTACATCCACATTGTGGGTGAGTCGGCAGCAATCGAACCAATGCTCAGAAATGCAGAAGGATCTCGAATTGGCGTGATTCTCAAAGAAGCTAGCAAGATTGAAGACAAGTTCGAAGAGCTTGAATCTCGCGACGGTCCGGAAGCGATTCTGAGACGAACAAACAACACTGAGGAAAGAATCTACTCCAATGACCTCGTCATGGCTTTGCATTCGGCCATTTCGAAATGCGATGAGTTTCTTCAGAATCAAGAGAGGACAAACCTTGTCCAGAACGTGCTCCGTGTACACCTGCAAGAAATCTTGCGTATCTTGAACGACAAGGAAGGGGAATACAAGACGGTTGTCGTCGCTACAGGAGATCATGTCCGGTCAAAGAGAGACTCAAGGCACGACCTTGTTGTACCAGGCGCATCCCCTATCCTAAGGACGCGAGAGGAGAACGATGAGATCGAGAAGGAGGTATCGCTCCTTCAGAAGCTGGATTCTGCGTCTTCGAGCGAGAGGCATGGTGTTCTAGCTGAGATTTACCTTCTCTCGGTGCGCAAGCGGGTCATTGATGTTGTTTGCAAACAGCTGCGTGTTGATAAAGCTCGCAAAGAGCGTGGAGCTAGATCAATCATCTCTGATGCTTCC